TTAGTCATGCCCATCGAGTTCCGAGCCATGGGTCCCTGAAAAATGTCAACAGGGCTATAAAAGCTGTTTTCTAATCCTGTTTGATAGGTGCCATGGATTTCATGATGTCCGCAAATTTTAAAGACACATTTTTATGCCAAGAACGTGCTCATTTTCAAACAGTGGCTAAAGTTATTTCAGATTTTGTGTGAAAAGACGTTTAGGACTACATGTGTCTCACCATAGTGATGTCATCAAAGCAGACACAAAGAAGAAAATGAGTTTTGCGAGCTTTGGATCTTTCTTCCAGGATGACAGAAGGATAGATTAAATGTGGGGAAAACCAAAGCAAACAATCTGGCCGTGTGGTAAGTAGGTGAGATTCTGCTGTGATGCAACGTCTGATTTGTGGTAGTTTTATTTACGAATCTTTACAAGCTAACAAATTTCAGATCGTGACTGCTATGGTCGAAACACACATTAAGTACATTTGTGCGATTCAGTGCATAAGGCAAAGCGGTTTTAAAAATAGCTCTCATAGCTTGGTTACTTGGTCCCATTTTTTTGTTGTTCCGTGGACCCATGAGGCGACCGGAAGGGGAGGAGACTTAGGCTGCCTATTTGATATAACACCTTCCTGAGTTCTACACTGACCACTAACAGCAGGCAAGGTGAGTTAAGTGTCTTGCCCAAGGACACAATGATTGAAACAGATGGGACTTCAACCTGCAACCCTCTGGTTAAAGGGTGGGCACTTAACCCCTCTGCCACCGTAGTTGTTAATTCACGTTATTCACATAGACTTAGTGTTCAAAGTGCAGCGTGTCATACTTTGACGGCATCTCCTTTCTGTACTTCCTGAAAGTCGTGCATTATTCTTACAGACAGTGTGGGCTTCGCTGTGCTGAAAAAGCCAGATTCTGGAGTGGCTGGTGTCTCGTGCTGAATTTTTGGGCAACAGCTGCTGCTGCACAGTCACTGCAGCCTGGCCTGTCTGCTCTGGTTTCATAAGCAGGGAGTGAATGACCTATATTCATGTCCGAGGGAGGGGAAGTCACCTTGTTGTTGACCAGGAGACAGGCAAGCTGGTGCACAGTGATGAGGTTTTAATGTGTACCATTATTAAAGGTATGACCAGCGACTCGATATTAAAGATGCTGTCGCTTGCTGCTGGAGTTGTTGGCTGGAAAATCAAACTTTCAGGCTCTGTTTCTCTTGGCTGGGCCTGTCTTCTTAAGACGGCTTTGTGTTGTGCAAAAAAGGCCAGTGTATGGGGGAGGATCCACTGCATTAACATGGTGAAAAACACAGCTTGACATGAATTGCATTTGCACACATGCACACAACACAGCACACACAAACACTTACCTTAGCTGAAACCATGCCAGAAAGATCAAGTCAGACAAACACCTCACCAGAGACTCCTCTAAGCGTTCTAACAAATTGAATGTGTGTGTAGATGGACAAGAGGGAATTAGATCAGTGGTCCTGATTGTATTTGAGTGTGCTGCTGCTGCCGTACCCCTTTCTAGCTCGTCCCCCGGAGGAAATATGTGTGTGCGCGCAGGGGGAGAGAGACTGAGACGGGGTGAGGAGAGAGGAGCGAGGGGCTTGGCAGCTGGTTTGATGAAGGATGTACGAAGAATGTTAACCAGACAATCACCTTGTGTGTTATTGATTGAGATGGGAGGGAAGTAATTAGCACAGAAAAGAAGGGGAACCTGAGGCCACTTTTGATGTTTTGATACAAAGTGTTCTCATTCTGTACCCAGAGAGGGAGAGATTATTCTGTATCATACGTGTCTGTCAACCATAAGTGCATGAAGCTTTTAACATTACACCACAGGTTTTTAGGTAGCAGAAGATTGTTTAAGGTGTTTCAAGCTGAAAATGTCTGAATTTATTTAAAAGGTTTGGAATGGTCAAAAAGAGTCCATGAATAAGTGCTTGTGTTTCTAAATTGTACTTTTACTAAGAGCTTCTATAACTAATTGTACTGAACTTTACTGTTTTAAACGGTTTTTAGACTGTGCAATTCAGATGTCTTGTTTTACAATCATATAGTCACTAATGTTATACTGAACCTTAGGCAATGGACTTCCACAACTTCTGTTTGGATGTTTGTTCTGTTTTGTTGTGTGCTGCTGCCCTCTTGGCCAAGTCTCCTTTAGGATCTCAAAGGGATTATTTTTTACAATGCAGGTTTAAAAAAAAAACCAAAGAAGCGCTTTAGTAAAATGTGTTGACGTAAATTTTTTCATGTGTGGTCAAAAAACATTAAATGCACTGTTGTGGTGGAGCTTGATGAACAAATGGATCCATGAACTTTTATTTCAAGGTTGTTTTTCGTTCTTTATCAATCTCTCATTCAATAAAATCTTAGAAAAATCAATTAACACATGGAAAGTAGTAAAGTAAAATTGAAAATGTGTGAACATATGAGAAGGGAGAGGGAGAGGAAGAGGGAGAGAATTATTATTTCTGATTTGAATAGGCCACTCTGAGATGGTCATGAGGCATGAACATGAAAGAGTCCTCCTACACCTACCTCCTGCGTTAACATCTGATAGAAATTTTCAATCTTTACGGTTTGAAAATCCTGACATATCTTTGTCACACTGTCACTTAACGTTGGACTCACCCATCTTGGCTCATGACATAGAAGGCTGTTGTTGGTTTAGCGTCCAGGAAAAAGCAGAGAATGTCTTGACTGATCAACGCTTTCTCACTCCCAGCGCGTCAAAAACAAACACTTGGTCAGCCACCCTCCGCATCAGACCCTTGTCGCCAAATGTGCCCTTTTTCATCACTTATTTGCTAAACGGGGTTTTTCTTTTTTCTGACTGCAGATCCCAATGCAGCGTAAAACTGACGCGATGGGATGCCCACTGATGCGGCACCGAACCAGCTCATTTAACCGCACCTAAACCATAACATTTTACTATTTATAACCTTCCCCTCACCCTCATCCTAACCTTAACCCTCTTGCTACCTAAAACGTTACGCTCACTGTGATCAAGCGTTTGTTTCCCATGCATTGTGACTGTGAATTTTCGTATTTGCCGCCCAAGGGGAACGTTGGAATATACCATCTGGCGAGGGGGAGGTTACAAATACCCTCTACTTTTAACGTCCACCTTGGTAGTTGAAACCTCTCCCTCATCTAGCCTATGTCCAAACCCGACCAATGACGAGGCGGCTCCCGCTGTTCACTTCGTAGAGCCGGCTTTTAGAGCGATCGACACATCACTAGCGTGTTTGCTAGCAAGATGGTTAAGGTTAGGATAGGGGTGAGGGGAAGGTTAAATAACAAGAGGATAAGGTTAGGGTGAGGTACAATGAGCTTGTTTCGTGCCCTGGCTGCGGACATCCCATCGCATCAGCTTTACGCTGCATTGGGATCTGCAGTCAGAAAAGGGAAAAAACCCTTTTCGCACATAAGTGACGAAAAAGGGCACTTTTGGCGTCAGGGGTCTGACCAGGAGGGTGGCTGAACAAGCGTTTGTTTTTGACACACCGGGAGTGAGAATGTGTTGGACTGATAGAAGCTAACCGTTAGCATTAGCAACGCCACCACATGGCAGAACTCCTCCAGGCTTGTGTAATTTGGGGAGATAAAATACCAACATTGTAGAACAAACAGAGTCAGTGGTTGAGTTGTGTTGCTCTTAGCCAATCAGAGGCGAGATGTCCAAATATTAGGAAATAAGTCCCGCCATCTGAAGCTCTCCTCTGATGTGGCTCACTTCTTCTGAAACAGGAACACTACAGCTTTTTTCCAGAGAGTACGACATACAAGGCATTCATTCCTACTAGAGACAATTTCAAATGTTTTAAAAAATATGAGTAAAGTTGACCTTTAAGGCAATCCAAAAAACTGCTGTTACTGTAAGGCTTTAAAGGTGCTCTTCAATAAAAACACTCATTTTTTTGTAACAAATGGAAGCATAGATTTCAGAAAGACCTGTGAAAGCTGTTGGTGCCAAACCAGTTCACCACTGGATTAACATAGTTATTCATTTCTTTATTTGAGAAGTTCAACCCCTTCAGATGTGCCACTTTGTTTTTGAGGGGGTCCTCCAATACAAATGGCCAAGGTAGTTGAGCAGTTTGTACAAAAGCAAAGAAAATAAAAGTTCACTTTGTTCCAGGACAGAAAAAAAACTGTAATTCGTTCATCAATGTGTTTAATTAAAAATTCTGAACCAGTGAAATGCTCCATGTTGGAACCCTTATACTAGCCCTGTTGATATACCTCACAGATGCTTTTGAGTTCCTCAAACACACCCAGAACAAAAATGTAGCTCTTCAGCTCCTGTGCGTGCTTCACCTCTTAACAGATTAACAAAAGTTAGACACGTAACACTCGTCCTCATTATTCCCAAATCTCATCTGGAGGAACCCTTAAGTAATTTTCCCCTTAGCCACTGCAGTGGTGAGAACATGCTGTGTATCTGAGTGTCAGCGTCTGTAATTCTGCTAATCACTCAGTAGTGAAAGAGGTAGAAGCTGCCAGAGTAAACAATGCTTTGGACCGTGGAAAGATGCAGCAGACCGTCATCAGTTCTGTCGCTTCGACTGCTGGTTGTAGCTGAGTAAATAGAAACAAGATGCCACCCACCGTGTGATTCCACCGTTTCTCTTCATCTGCTGTTCTTTTAATCTACTACTAAACACTTTTCAGTCACTTCAAAGTTTTACGTTAGCAACAAAGGGACAAGTGGTTTTCTTTAATTTGACATCCTGCTCTGCATCTGTCTCTGCTCGTTGAATTTAAATAATCTCCATAATTCTATCCGTGTTATCCCTGTAAGCCCATAAATCAGAGCCCTTCTCTCCTGGTCAGCAGACATCTTTATGGCTCGCCCCATCGTGCTGCTATTGTTGGTGGATTGTAAAAATTCATTTCACCATGTGCATTAATTAGGAAAGGGAACAGTCGAGCCAGGGTTTGTTGTTCACCAATTTATTTTTTGTTATTTTATGTCCACTCTGAAAACTTTTGTCTGTTCCTATTCCAGCTCACCGCTCAGACAACCTTCCTCCACAGTCAAAGTGTGCCTGGTCTGTGGAGACGAGGCATCGGGGTGTCACTACGGTGTCGTGACATGCGGGAGCTGCAAAGTCTTCTTCAAAAGAGCCGTGGAAGGTAAAATGCGGTCCCGTGTTCAGACAAGATGGCGCTCAATAGGGTTTGTTTCTTATTTTTTCCTTTTTAGCTGAAAGTGCTTTACACCCTGGGAGGAGGTCAGACAACTCAAGCAACTTAGGAAAACACCGTCACAGATACTGTAGATGATTGTTAATACATCAGTCAAATCTAAACACATGCTCACTTACGAGCTGTGGAAATAGCGAGGAATTGTATAATATTTAGAATTAGTTGTTTTAGAATCGGAAAAGGGTAGAAAGCCTTCTCCGGGTCAGGGATGAGGTCCTGCCCCAAGTGGAGGAGGTTAAGTATCTCTCTTGTTCACGAGTGAGGGAAAGCTGGGGCGTGAGATCGATAGGCGGATTGGTGCTGCGTCTGCAGTGATGAGGGTGTTGTACCGGTCTGTCGTGGTGAAGAGAGAGCTGAGTCAGAAGGCAAAGCTCTCGATTTACCGGTCGATCTACATTCCTACCCTCACCTATGGTCATGAGCTTTGGGTAGTGACCGAAAGAACGAGATCGCGGATACAAGCAGCTCTAAATGAGTTTTCTCCGCAGGGTGTCTGGGCTCTCCCTTACAGATAGGGTGAGAAGCTCGGACGTTTGGCCCAAGTGGCTGGGGAGAGGGAATCTCTCACCCTGGATTCTCATGTCAGTTCTCTTGTTCGCTCTTCCTTCTTCCATCTCAGGAACATTGCTGAGTCCCATTCTGTCCTGCTCTGAACTTGAGACAGTTATCCACACCTTCATCTCCTCATGCTTAGACTACTGTAACTCTCTTTTCACGTGTCTGAGCAGAACCTCCCTGAACCGTCTACAGGTGGTTCAGAATGTCTGTGCTCGGCTTCTGACCAAGTCCTCCAAACACACCCACATCACCCCGCTTCTCCTCCAGCTTCACTGGCTGCCAGTTAACTTCAGGGTTCATTTCAAGATCCTGGTTCTGGTCTATAGGGCCTTACATGGACAAGCACCATCTTACATTGATGATCTTCTTAGTCCCTACACCCCCAGCAGGTCCCTGAGGTCCAGTGATCAAAGCCTACTGGTTGTGCAGCGCACCAGGCTAAAGACCAAAGGTGACAGATCATTTGCTGCTGTGGCCCCCAGACTCTGGAACTCTCTCCCCCTGAGCTTGAGATCAGTGGACTCAGTGGTCTCCTTTAAAAAGCAGCTGAAGACTCACTTGTTCGAGCTGGCTTTTGTATGACCTTCTTCACCACTCTCTCTTTATTCTGCTCTCCTCACCTATTCCACCTTCCTCAGGATCCACTGACTTCCCTCTTTCCTATTCACTCTCTCTTTCTTAACATTTTTTCTTTTAAATCCCAATAGCCTATTTTTGCTCATTTTAAATATATTTTTAAACATTTTCTAAATACTTTTTTATATTTTAACTTTTTTTTTTTTGTTTTTGTGAAGCGCCTCGTGATTTTTATCTTGAGAGGCGCTATAGAAATGATATTTTCTTCTTCTTCTTCTGGGCCTCTCGACTTAGGCTGTTGCCCCTGCGACCCGACTCCAGATAAGCAGAAGAGAATGGATGGATGGATAGTTTTGGAATCTTATGAAAACTAATTTAATGTCATCATTAAATGTTTTCCGTGTATTTTTTGCTTATTTAATCAAGTCAAATCAAAGATACTTTATTAATCCCAGAGGGAAATCAGAGTTGTTTAATATTAGGTAAATGTCTTAGTGAACATACTCTGGTTGAAACTCTAGGATTTGAAAAGTCTGACAGATCTACCTCACACTGTCACTTTAGTTCATGAACTCACCTATCACGATTCACGATAGGGAAGGCTGTTGTTGGTTTAGCGTCCAAGAAACCACAGAGAACGTCTCGGCTAGCAGAAGCTAACTGTTAGCATTAACAACTTCACCACGCAGGCTTGTGTTATTTGTGGAGATAAAACATCAGTGTTGCAAACAAATGGAGTCAGTGGTAGAGTCATGTTGCTGTTATTCAATCAGAGGCGAGATGTCCAAATATCAGGAAATAAGACTCCTAATCCTGCCGTCTGAAGCCACTTTCTCCTCCAGCTGACTTCTGTGTCCTCATACAGGAGCATCTGAGCTTTCCCCCCAGAGAACGACTTGCAAAGCATTCATTCCTACTAGAGACCACCGCAAATGTAGTAAAAATGAGGAGTAAACTGGAGCTTTAGTAAACTTGAACTGTCAACATTAGAAGTTTGTATTTAATTCATTACCAATTTTTAGAAATTGTCCTTGTTTCCCTCGATTAAATGATAAAACATGCATTTCCCTTTAAATTACTTTTAAAAGCTACTATTTAGCTAAGCTTTCTGGCTAAGGTAAAACATCGTCATCATCGTCTATTTCTGGAGAACATATAGATCAGGTACCCTCAACCATGGACGTCACTAGGATTGAGATATAGGGGGGGCTTAGCCCCAGGAGCTTGACCTTGAACATTTTTTTCACATCCTGCAAAAACTTTGTCAATTAATTCATTATCTGAAGAACATTTAACAAAACCTATCATTTTATCAATTTCTTTTCCTTTCCTACCTTTGTGCATTTTCTCTCTTCTTTTTATAAATAATAACACTTAATCAGTTCATTAGTGGGGTCTATGTTGAAGAAAGATTTTATATAAGTCCATTAAAAATTAGTTTTGTTATATTTCCAAATAAAGCTATTCATTTCAGTCTACTGCACTTAACATGGGGAAATGTTGCAGTCATTTGTTTAATTACAACTTGCTTAATTATAAATGTTACTGAAATATGACAAAGAACAAATGAATAATTGTCAAACTTTTATTCTGCCAAATGAGTGTGCAGTTGACAGTTTTGATATATGAATAACACTGATGTGATATGGAATAAAGGAGTATGTAATTAACAATTACAAGACAAAATAACAGTATAAAATAAATAAAAATGAGGGCTGGGACTTGATTAAAATTTTTAATCTAATTAATTAGAGGCTTTGTAATTAATTAATCTAAATTAATCGCATTGTAATCGTTCAGGAAAATGTGCTCTCAAAGCAAAACTTAATTAAAATTATGAAATAGAGAATTAAACATTAGACATAGTTATTACTGTAAAACTAAAGCTTTTAATAAAAAATGCATTTTAATTAATCAAATGTCACTGTGTGATTTGAAACAAGACCCAAATCAACTAAAATTTATAATTACAAATAGAAAACACCTGCAAAGGGTTCCTGAGCCTTTGAATAGTCTCTCTGTGTAGTTGAATGACTGAAATAAATTTGACTTTGCACCAGATTCTAATTTTTCCAGTTTCACTTGTTTGTATAATTGGGAGTTTTTATTAGCATTTCTACTCATAATGTAGTAAAAACACACACATAAATAATAATCCTTCAAAATGACAGTAGAACAGGCACAAATATGATCTAGGACTTAAATGTACTAACTTTTAACACAGGCGTGACATATTCTGAGAATGATCAGGAACACTAACTGGTTCCAGTTGGATGACTGGAGGTTGATGGGAAGATAAAAGATCATGGCGAGGAAATAATGATCTGACGAACAGGTGAGCGGACCTTCCTTACATGGGAATCCTGATGTCACGTTAAGAAGGGGATGCTGCAGACCCGCAGATTCACGCCTGCTGCAGTGAATCTGGTGTGATCTCCAGCCTGATCACAACTTTCTCGTTCCTCGCTGCCCCTGATGCACTTAAGCATCCACCCCTTAGCTGATGACAGCTTCAACACACCTCGCTGCTTAATGATAGTAATGCATGTGATGTTTAGACAGAGACTCGTCTCAGAAACGTATAACTCCCCGACAGAATTGTTTAGAAAATCATCAGAAAAGAACTTAAACTTCTGTTTTCAACTTTAAGACACGTTGTTTGTGATTGTTTACAGAGTAGTGAGAACACGGAGCGTTCTCCCGGCGGCAGACCGCGGTCAGCGGCAGCCAGGTGCCTCTCGTTTGTCTGACTACTTTCATAAACTACTGTTAGGGCAAAGAATTATTCTGTCTGGTGCTTTCAGCGCTGCACAGATGTTACGTAAATGTTAAAAATATAGCTTACCGCAACTTTTGTAAAGTTTCCTGTGCCACCGGGCAGCTGCAGCAGCAGAGATGATCTCTGAAAAATGTCCGCGACACGGACTCCGTTGTTGTCTGGAAGTTCGTTTTTTTCAAGTTAAGAAAAGAGGCAGACGGGTTTCCTAAATCCTGCATCAGTCCAAGCAAGGCAACTTCTTTCTGTTTTTATTCCGTTAGTAGCCATTAGCACTGTGCGTTGTTGTGTGCGTCAGTGATATTCTGTCTACGAGGAAGTCGTGCAATGACAAAGGTTCCGCCGTGCTCGAAATGCAAGCTGCGATTAAATGCGTGGAATTTTTTTAACGTGTCGTTTTTTTTCTAATTAATCATAATAACGCGTTAAAGTCCCAGCCCTAAAAAAAACTCAAAATGATAGGGGGGCTTGTGATTATTTTAGGGGGGCTGAAGCCCCCCTAAAACGGACCTAACGACGTCAGCGCCCTCAACTAAATTTGTTAATGGGCCGGAGTTTTTTCCAGCAGACACTTTGAGGGCCAGATTCCCTTCTTACATAAAGTTCAAGGATTGTATCTTAATTCATTAACAATCAAAAGGGCTTTGTCTTCCATCTAAACTGCTTGGACTGTAGTTTTAATGTGTTTGGAGAACATACACATTTATTGATACTCGGGACATGAATTTTGCTGCTAAACTTCAAAGTCCCCAAATTGGGGGGTATTAGGGCCCAAAGGGTTGGGGGGCAGGATGTGGCCAGCGGGCCACCAGTTTAGGTTCACTGTTGTAAAAGCTGTGAGGTGGTGCTGCTGGTTTGCACCATTGCTTCTCAGCAAGAATGTTCTGGTTTCTCCTCTTGACTGCATTAATTCTGCATGTTTTGCTCCTGCATGCACGAGTTTTTGCAAAGCCCTGCAGTTTTCTCTCACAGAACAAAAACACCATTAGGTTGACTGTAGATTCTAAATCGGCCCTAG